ATATTGGGTTGGCAAGAAAGTACTTTCGGTTCTTTAGTGTGAAATAAAACTCAATTTTTTCTGTACAGTAAATGAACTTTAATCGGTCAAATATCTTCTATTCTATTCGATGACCTTTTGCCATCTTTCTGGCAACTTCATCATCCCGCGCTCATAGAATTTCTGGTCCTTATCTGCAAAAAACTTAACCAAGTGCGTAAATCTCAGAAGGTCGACCAGAACGTTGTGAGTATCTTTCAGTGAAAAATCTTCAGAACGAAATTTTTTAAACTAATTCTGACACGTGCGTTCTGTTAAACAATCAACACCATAAACTTCTCATACCTCTTTGTGAGCCTCAGTCGCATTCTTGCCTTTATGAAAATAAAAAAAGTAAAATTTGTCGAAAATGCTTATTTTTGCACTCCGTGTTAAGACTGACCGTGAACTGACAGTTATAAACGAAATTACACGGAATTTCACGAAATAGCAACCTAAAGGTATCGACTACCACTTCTCAAAAGAAAAAATTCCAACATTGACAAAAGAATAACTAAACAAGCATAACATTATTTACTGGTGCAAACCGAAATTACTTTCTTGCCAACCCAATATAATCTACAGGTTGGCAATTATTTCGATTCGCAATTAAAATGTCTTATTTTTGCAGCCCTAGCATATAATGCTAAAGAAGCCAACCTGATACATCGACCGTTTCGCAGCTTGCACGCGAACGGGCAAAAATCGCCGGTGTTATGTTGCCAACCTCTCCTGCCAAGAAGCACTCGACACCAGGTGATTGGCACGGATGTTTCGAGAAAGTCAGTTACTTCAGTCCTGCAGTAAGGGAACACAGGAGAGGGAAACCTGAACCTGAGCCACCAAATGTGAAGATCAAGCCCAATCCTCTCGGTGGTCCAGGATATGCGGACATTTGCTTGAATCCCTATCCATCGTATTCTCACGAACCTTACGATCCGCCCGGAGAACGCGCAGGTGACAGAATAAATTCCATTTCTCAACACGATTTTTCCTCTACTTCTTCGAATCGGTATGCAAAGACGTACATACGTGTAGTTTTATTTAGAAAAAATTAGCAGTAACCTGCGAATCTTTAAAATCTTTAAAACATCTGCACTTCCGAGATAAAAGCGTGCATCCTGTGACGTACCATTTCACACTACTTTATTTCTCAATCTTTCATTACTCTGAAATTATAGTACGGTTCAATTGCATATGCAATTGTATGCATAAAGACTACTTATTCCTCACGAGCAATTTCACGGTTCAGGAATGACGATATTTTTATGAAAGAAGTAGAATATCGCAGATAATATCGATACTTGTTTATAAATTAGTTGGAAACGACGTGGCATATTTTGAAACGAGTTTCATTCGTACTAGAAATGCAAAACGAAATTTTACGTAAAACACGTGAAAAATTTCAGGAATACGAAATGGAGCAATTTGTATAAACGTCGCGTAGAGAACTCTTTTTACGCGAAGTAAAAAAGAAATTTGTTTTTAAAAGCAGCTCGTATAGGAACGGTATTTCCCTTTATTCGGAAGTCAGCGAAAAGATATAACGATAGAACTAAAACGCGTTTAAAATGTTTCGAAATGAAGAGTTCAAGTTTCACTGTTACGTAATCAAACGAACATAAGAACCTTACCTGCTTCGTACAGTTAAGAAACTAATTCAAGTAGCATGCAAAATAGATGTCTACATAGGAAACGAACAATTTCACGAGCTTGGATCATCGTTCGATAGCTACTGAACGAGAGAAAATGAATAAAATACATCCGATAAATTAAAGTTCGGGGCATATCAAAATTTGGTTGCTGACTGGCAGTCAAAATTAATCAATATTTCACCGGTGACGCGTAATGAAGGTATCTACACGCGTATCGAAGTGTCAACTAAATTCTAATTTTCGTATGCACTTTGCCTGTCCGCTTTTTATTTCTCATTTTTTCGCTCATTAGCCTTTTCTCAGAGCGGTAGACGCGAGAGACAATATTGCCGAGCAAGAAAGTAATATAAAGAGGGCTCGTAACGCGAAAGAAGATTGGAGACTCTCGCTTTCCCTCGCTTCCGCTTTCCTTTTTCGGTAGAATTTTGTTTCCCAGGCCAGCGCAACTAATTACATTTTTGTCGTAGGGAAA